CATGACAGCACCTGACAAACAGTGTAATTTTTCTGTCATTTGCAGGTGATAGCAAAACTGGTAAAATGACTGGTACTGGAAAATCATGTAAGAAGTTTGTATGTTTTTTTTCTGACAAGTGTCATAGCAACTTGGTTTATATTATTTTGTATTCGATGACCAGATTACTATGAAGGCAATCTAAGTTTATTTTGAATGGAGGTGGTAGAAATGGATTGTTGGAGCTAGTGAAGCAAGTTAAATATGCAATCTATTATCCAAAAACAATGAGGAAGTTATGATGTCATATGTTGACATGGTCGTTCGAGTGTAAAGTGTTTTCATGTAGTAAATTTTTTTTTATAGGATCTGTAAACTTAGAGGCAGCATTATAACACCTGTAACATAGCCATAAAAGCCATAGTTTAGTATCTGCATAAGTATTTAGGGAATTTTCAGTGTTCCTAATTGGTGTTTAGATTAAGATTTAGTAGCTAATTTACATACGTTCATAGAAGGTATGGTAAAGAAGGGGTTGACATTATTTTTGCTTTTATTTATAGATTATTACTATAATTGTTGCTGTTGTGTTTGTTGTTATTATTACTGATGATATTGTTTTTTATATTATTATTTAGCTATTATCATGATAATTCATCTTTTGTAGTTGTAGTAGTAGTGTAGTGACAGCAGCACTAGTAGTAGAAGTAGTAGTAGTTGCCATTGTAGTTTTAGTTGTTATTGTAGTAGTAGTAGTAGCCATAGTCATAGTAGTAGTAGTAGAAAGACTAGAAAATTATTATGTATTATATGGATAAGCATTCAAAATTATTTGATATATACCTATTTGAAATTACATGTAGTGTTTTTTTAACTGGAAGTATATGTGATTTTTTACACCTTGATCATACTTATAAACATTTGTAGATACATATAAATGTACACAAACATATTCATTCATTTATTTATCCACTGATTCATCATAAAACTTTAAACGTTTCAGTTAGCATTGATGAAGAATGATCCGTGTGTACATTCCGCATTACCGCCAAGTGGAGGGTGAAGGAGGCAGAAGCCATTACGTGTATATCCTGGAAGTCTGCTACACTGGGCGTGTGCACAAAATCGAAAAGAGATACTCGGCATTCCATAGTCTGTACAAAGAGGTAAGTTGTTGTTGTTTGCGTTGTTGTTTTTGTTGTTTTGGAGTAATACATACTTTTTAAAATGCATGATTTATTGATATCCTGCTTTACTTTTCTAGCTAATGATGAGTATATACTGAGACTATGTTGCGTGATTATTAAATAACTTGTTGTTTATGCTTATGTTGTGTATGGGAAGATGATTATATTTTGATGTAATGATAGCTTATGTTTTGACTTATTTATTTATTGTTTACTTTTCTTTGTTAAACGAATGAGTATATTGAAAAAGTATATGGCACGATTTTGAAAGTAATGCCTTTCAGCTTTGCTTATTAGTCGGTATATAGGGGTGCTGATTATTTTTATGGATATTGTTAATGCTATTTTTATATTAGAATGAATATTAGTAAATGAAATATGTATTTTAAAGATTGAAAGGTTAGAAACTTGTCTAAATCTAACATTCCACTCCTCCCTCCCCACTTGACCCTTCCTTTTACCATCAATCTTTACACATATTTGTATATATTTCTTAAATGAATGGTAGAATGACAGAAAAAATAACATATACCCAATCTGAATTCTAGACAATATTATATACCAATACAAGTAAGCTTGTGATATTATTGCCAGTATGAATAAGAACAAATGTCATAGTTTGAATGTTGTAAAATGCTCTCCAAATAAAAAAGCAATCTGTTTGCAAATGAATAAAAAAGAAAAAAAAATATCTGAGAAAGTTTGATTGAAGTTCTGATGCCAAATGTAAGAAGAACAGGATGCACCCATATTGGAAGTACAACATCACCTCCAACTTCAGCGGCCATACATTCAGACGGGCATATCACGCATGGGCATTTGGGGTGTACAGTATAGGGGTAGAAGATTACACTTCGGCTTACTTCCTCATAGCAGATAGGTTTGTAAGGAGTGCAACATGCAAACATCAAGTATCTTCAGATTATTATGGAGCTCACAAAATTAGGAGGCTTCAGGATATAAAGTTGTAACCATTTGTTTAGTTGATTAATGGCTTGGCTGTCATCAGTGACATGAGTTGCTTTTATACCCATGTCAAAAAGATATATGTAATTTGATAGTTACCAGCATAATGCTTAAAGTTCTTATTAGCCAGTTAGTGTTCTAACTAGACATGGAATCTGTACCGAAAGACATTTTGATACTTGTGCATTTTATAAAGATATGTCTATTACTTGTAGTTACCCCCGTAAAAGGAAATCTTAACATCAGAAGAATTACACCTAAATTAGTTCCTACTGTTGACTACTGTTGAATTAGCAGATGCTTGGCTCACATTAACCATATAAAAACAACAACAAGAAGCAATTTACAATCTTTAGTAATGATTAGTAAGAGGAAATGTGTCAAAAAAAAGAAAACACCTAATTTATCATTTGCCTGCAATTAAGTGGATCAAAAGATGGCTTTATTCTCTGGGAATAAGAAATTCCATCACAGCTTTTCCAGTTTGCATTTATAGTCATTTAACAGTAATCATTCAGCTGGAACTACAAAAGAATATACAACAACAAAAAGACATTGGAGTTTCCCTATTATTTTTTATATTTGAAATTTTAGATATACACACGAATGGGGAGAAGGGGGAGTGGTCCCGAACATGAAATTAATGCATCATACATGCCAGCAAAAAAAGTATATTAGCACAGTTTACCAGACGGAAACAGAGGGGCTCCACTGTGTCAGTCATAAAACTCTGACGTGGCTCACACACTTCCCTTACCTTGTCTGGAGTGAAAGAGAAAAAGTTTAACTAAGGTGAGGTCATTACCGAGTGCTGAAGAGAGGAAAATGATGGTATAGATCATTATACCAAATTTGAGAATGAAAAAAGAAAAAGAATTATGAGTCATAAAAGTCAGGATGTGAAAAAAAAAAAAATTCACTTGCTTTGAACATTCCTTCAACTTGGTAGAACATCTTGTGCGTTTGGGTTTTACAGTTTAGACGGCAGTAGTTATTATCTGGTACAAATTGTGCCATGCAAATTGTATATGCAAAGTGTGAAGAATCAGGATTGCGTCATAAGTATCTCTTAACTGTTATTATGTCATTTGTCACCAAAAATTTATGTGCATATATATTAGTTGTTATAGGAGTTCACTCAGTTTTACAAGAGTAACATGGGTTACTTGTATATTTGTATATATATTTGTGTGTGCATGTGTGTTTGTGTGTTTGTTTGATTGTTGATTAGCAAACAGAAAATTTTGAACATTAGCTATTTAAAGTTAGATTCATTGGATGAACAAGAGATGAGTGGAATTTAGATATAGAGTAGTGTAATTTTTTTGTGAGTGAATTTATGATTAATTTTAACCATCAAAGGATAGGAACTTATTGAACTTTATTTGTGTAATGTAGTCAATTGAACAATTTTAGAACTCTGTTACAAAGCAGTGGTAAAATTGGCAGGAAAGACCACATTTACCACCTTTCACATTTGGAGAGCGTGAGTGAAGAGGCTGTGCTGTGTGAAAGAAGTGACTATGTAAAGTGGGTGACTGTCTAGTGTAAGTAAGTAAGTGGCTATGTAGAGTAAGGGAGAGTGGCCAAGTAGGGTGTGAGATAGTTTCGTGAGAGAGTGCGAGGGAAGGTGACTATGTAAAGATTGAGGGAAGAGGTTTTGGTAAATGTAGAGGTGAGTAGCCATCTACAGCATGAGGAAAGTGTCTTTGATATGAGAGTGTGGCTTTAAAGAGTATGTAGATTGTGACTATTTAGAGTGTGTGGGCACTGGAGTGTGTGTGGCATGCAGCTGTTTTGAATGTATGAGAGCTGGCTAATTCATTGTGAACTAGATGTCTCTGTAGAGTGAAGAATGTGTCTTAGGAGAATGTGGCTATACAGAGTATGTGCGACATGTATAAGAATACTTTGACACAATTAGCAGTTGGACTTTATTGCCCTTAACCTGAAGTGCCTTGTCTAGTACCTCCATCTATCCGCTACACTTGATTGCTATTTTATATGACTTGTTTTTCATATGGACTCACACAGGTCAAAATTCTATAGAAAGTGTTTTATTTCCTCATATGTCAGAATTTTAGAGTAGTCTGTATGGTTCGTTGGTAACATATCAGTTTTACTTTGCTTTGTATTGTTTGTACCTATGCATATATTGTGAATACTTTCATATGTATATGTATATTGATGTTGTCTTTGTTATGTATGTATATATTAAACTAGTCTGGCTATCCAACCATTCATCTCTTTCTTTCTGCATGTGAGTACAGTCCTATCTGATTGTTAACAGGAACTTTTTGTCTTCTATCTGTTTGTTAGTTTATTTGTGTATTTACCCATCTACTTTTACTTGTCAATTTGCAGAAACTCCAACGGTTCATAACGTCCTTTCACAAGCAAATGTAAATGTATTATCTTATCAGCAACACAATTTACTCTAAAGATTAGTCAACTACCGGATTAGTCAACCCATGCAGAACTGTAGGGAATTTGAAGTGAGCAGAGTGCTTTATAGTGCTGTATCTCTTCTTTGTATTTGGTAGATATTTCTTCCAGCTGGATATTTATAGGAATACTAGAGGGTTAGTTTTTGTACGGTAAATGGTGTTTTTCATGGCAGTGTGATCATTAGAGTTTTTTGGTTATCATACTCATCTGTGTTTTACAAGATGCAATTTATCATGTTCTGTAGGTAAGTGCACAAGGGAAGGATTCTGTAACTCTTTTGCGTGCATATGGAAATACTCCAAGGAACTCACATTGTGTTTAAAGAAATACACCATACTTTTTTTATTGTTGAATAGAATGTTTCAGCTGAGATTAAGCATTTTGAAATCAGATGGTGAAACAAAATGTGTAACATGGTGGTATTGTACAGTATTTTTTAACACACTTAAGAAAGATTAGATAACTAGCGATACCAGCGCTTCTTGTAAGAAGCTGAGTGATTTGTTATCACCATTGAATTAGGTAGCTAATCTTTATATGTATTATGTTTGATGCTGAGTATTATGTTATGTTCATTTAACTAGTCTATCCATAGAATTGAATATGTTTATATTTATTTGTTATTTGTAGATTTTCTTCATCTATCTCATTTTAACATCCTTCATGCATATTAGTAGTTTGTAGTTAGTAGTTTGTTTAAAACTATTTAGGAAAGTGTCTCAACTATGAATGTAGAAATGGGTCTCTGTGGCATGAAGATAATCAGTAAAGATTTTTATTGTGTGTGTGTGTGGGGGGGGGGGGGGGTTGCAGGGCTCTGATTTGGCATCAGAGTGCACATTTATTTATTTAATTACCAAGTGGAGAGATATGCTAATAGAAAGTGCAATATGATGGGAATGTTGTGCTTTATGTTATGTTTTTGTGTTGTTAATATTTGTGCAATGTATATCCCTTAAAAAAGAGAAGAATGAAAGAAGGAAAAAATTGATGGGGGTGGGCCTAATAAAGGAATTAGATTTTGTACAGCTTTTGCACTGAAAACAAATATTTGTTAATTTTGAATGAGCTGCAGATGGTAGGTATATTGAATAATACAACCTTTTCTGTTAGTTTGTCTGCTGATATTATTATTTGTAAAGGGTGTCCATGTTGATTCTCCTGTTTTTCTTTTCACGGAACTTCAGCTCCGCAAGGCCTATCCCACTGCCGAATTCCCCCCGAAACGTCTACGTAACACAACCTCCAAGGTTTTAGAGACCCGTCGTGCTGGCTTAGAGTCCTGGCTCCACTCCACACTCTTGTTCGAACCCACTCCTCCTGCACTGCTGGCGTTCCTGCAGGTGCACAACTATCAGCCTCCGCACCAAGAGTAAGTGGGAAGCCCTCGCAGTTTGTGCTGTAAGGGAGGATTGTTTTGTTTTGAAATACTGTTGTAATGTGATTGAGGTTTTTTGAGTTTTGAGTTTTCTGTATAAGGGTGTCAGATTAGAGGTATTTGTCAAATTAGGGTAAGTTATCTGGGTAGGGATGTTAAGAGGCAGTTCTCAAATTAGAGATAATGCTAAGAATATTTAGTATGTTAAGGCTTAGTGATAAGGAATATTCATACCATACTTTTACAATTGGTGTATGTACTGTAAGATGGATTTTTGAGCGATTCATAAGTGAATTTAGGAGCTGTTTGTCCTAACTTTTTTATTTGTTTTCATTTTCTTTGCTTCTATCCCTCTCTCACTCTCTCTCCCTCTATTCCTCTCTTTCTCTCTCTCTATTCTCTTCTATTCTCTCTTCTCTTCTCTCTCTTCTTTCTCTTTCTCTCTTTCTCTCATTCTCTCTATTCCTCTCTTCTCTCTTTCTCCTCTATTCCTCTTTTCTCTCATTCTCTCTATTCCTCTCTTCTTCATTCTCTCTATTCCTCTCTTTCTCTCATTCTCTCTATTCCTCTCTCTCTCATTCTCTCTATTCCTCTCTTTCTCTCTCCTTCTCTCTCTTCTCTCTTCTCTATTCTCCTTTCTTCTTTCTCTCTCTCACTCACTTCTCTCTCTGTCTCTCTCTCTCACTCACTTTCTCTCTCTGTCTCTCTCTCTCTCTCACTCACTTTCTCTTCTCTGTCTCTGTCTCTCGCTCACTTTCTCTCTTCTGTCTCTCTCTCTCTCACTCACTTTCTCTCTCTGTCTCTCTCACTCACTCACTCACTTTCTCTCTCTGTCTCTCTCTCACTCACTTTCTCTCTCTGTCTCTCTCTCCTCACTTTCTCTCTCTGTCTCTCTCTCACTCACTTTCTCTCTCTGTCTCTCACTTTCTCTCTGTCTCTCTCTTCTCACTTTCTCTGTCTCTCTCTCACTCACTTTCTCTCTTCTCTCTCTGTCTCTCTCTCACTCTCTCACTTTCTCTCTCTGTCTCTCTCTCTCTCACTCTCTCTTTCTCTCTGTCTCTCTCTCACTTTTCTCTCTTTCTTCTCTCTCTCACTTTCTCTCTCACTTTCTCTCTCACTTCTCTCTCTCTCTCTCTCTCTCATCTCTCTTTCTCTCTTTTCTCTCTCTCTCTCTCTCTCTCTCTCTCTCTCTCTCTCTCTCTCTCTCTCTCTTCTCTTCTTATCTCTCTCTCTCTATCTCTATCTCTATCTCTCTCTATCTCTCTCTCTCTCTCTCTCTCTCTCTCTCGTCTCTCTCTTCTCTCTCTCTCTCTCTCCTCTCTCTTCTCCTCTTCTCTCTTTCTTTTTTGCTTTATCAGACACTTTACCTGCAACCACATATCACCTAACTGTTATAATTCACACATTTCTAGTCAGGCGGGACCTCCCATTGTTTATGGTAACATGGCATTGTAACGCCAGTTTTCATATCCAGAGATACAGACGAAGTTAACAAATGTTCGCCCTATTGGCATACCCTACACTGTCAATATACTCAAGAAAATGTAGGAGACCGACTGACGAGATTTCCTTAATGAAGAGCCGCTATCCAAAGCACTGCATGGCTTTAAATGTAAGATGTCTACTGAAACAGGTCACAAATAGAATTAATGGTAATACGGTCAGCATCCAAACAAATTTGCTTACTATTGGCTACCTATCCAAGGTTTTCAATAATGTTAAAACCAAGAAATCCTCCTAAGTAAACTAACTAGTACAAAATTGATACACATTGATTCAGACCAATAACCAATAGTAAATTCATGAGCATATATAAAAATTATCATTGCTTTATTTCCCATCATTTATCTCTCTCTTCTCTCTCTTTCTCGTCCTCCCTCTCTCTCTCTCCTCTCTCTCATCTCTCTCTCTTTCCTCCCTCTCTGTCTCTCTCTCTCTCTCTTCTCTCTCTCCTTCTCTCATCTCTTCTCTCTCTCCTTTTCTCTCTCTCTTCTCTCTCTCTCTCTCTATCCCTCTATCCCTCTTCTCTCCTCCCTCCTTCTCCTCTCTCTTTCTCTCTTTCTCTTTCTCGTCTTCTCTCTTTTTCTCTCTCGTCTCTCTCTCATCTAATCGTCTTCTCTCTCTCTCTATCTCTCTAATCCCTCGCTGGGTCTTCTCTCCTCCATTCCTTCTCTCTTTCTCTCTTTTCTCTCTTTCCTCGCTCTTCGCCCCCTCTTCTTTCTCTCTTTTTTCTCTCTCTCCTCTCATCTCTCTCTCTCTGCTCCTTTCTCTCTCTCTCTCTCTCTCTCTCTCCTTCTCTCTCTCTCTCTCTCTCTGTCAGTCTCTCTCTCGTCTGTCTCTTTCTCGGGTTTCTCTTTCTCTCTTTCTTCTCTTTCCTCATCGTCTCTCTCTCTCTTCTCTCTATCCCTTCCTTTCTTTTTCTTTCTCTCTCTCTTCCCTCTATCCTGCTGTGCTCTGCTCTCTCCTTCCCTCTTTCTCTCTTTTTCTCCTCTTTCTAGACAGGAACAGTCGGAACACGCCTATCTATTCCGCCTCTCTTTTCTCTTTCTCTCATTATCATCCGATTATCTCTCTACTCCTCCACTCATCGTCTTCACTCCCCTCCCTCTCTCTGTCCCGGCCTTCTCCTAGTCTCTCCAGGTCGGTCTCTTGTCTTCCTCTCTAGATCTTCTATTCTCTCTTCTTCATCTTCTCTCTCCCTCGTCGTTCTCACTCATCTCTTCTCGTCTCCTCTCCATCTCTCTCTACCCTCGCCCTCTCATCTCTCTCTCTCTCTCTTCTCTCTGTCTCTGTTCTCTTGTCTGTCTGTCTCTGTCTTGTCTCTGTCTCTGTCTCTGTCCGTCATTTCTCCTCCTCTGTCCTCTGTCTCTCCTCCCTCCTTTCTTCCTTCCCTCCTTTCGCCTCCTCTCTCCTTCCTCCCTCTCGTCCTCCTCCTCCTTCCTTCCTTCCTTCCTTCCTCCTTTCCTTCTTCTTCTCCTTTTCCTCCCTCTTCATTCCCTCCTCCCTCCTTCCTTATTCCTCCTTTCCTTCATTCCTTTCCTTCCTTCCCTTCCTTTTCCTTCACTTCCTTTCCTTCCTTCCTTCCTTCTTTCCTTCCTCACTCCCTTCCTTTCCTTTCCTTACCGAGTCCTCACTCCTCCCCTCCTCCACTCTCTCCCCCCCCCTTTCTCTCCTTCCTCTCTCTCCTTGTCCCCCTCTCTTTAAGTCTCCCTCACTTCCCTCCTTCCCTCCCTCCTCCTTCTCCGCTCTCTCCTCCTCCCATCTCCCTCCTCCTCCCTCTCCTCCCTCCTCCTTCCTCCTTCCTTCTTCCTTCCTCCTTCCTCTCTCCCCCCTTTCTCCTTTCTTCGCCTCCTCCTTTTCCCCCCCCTTCTCCCTCCCTCTCTCCCCCTTTCCTCCCTCCCTCTCTCCCCCTTCCCTCCTTCCCTCCCTCGCTCCTTCCCCTCCTCCTCCCTCCCTTCCCTCCTCCCTCTCTCCCCTTCCCCTTTCCCTCTCCTCCCCGCTTCCTCTTCCCTCCCTCTCTCTCCTTCCTCTCCCTTCCCTCTTCTCCTACTTCTTCCTCCTTCCTTCCTTCCTTCCTTTCCTTCCCTTCCTTCCTTTCCTTTCTCCCTCTCCCTCCCTCTCTCCCCCTTCCCTTCCTTCCTCTCCCCTCCTTCCCATCCTCCCCTCCCGTCCTTCCCTCCCTCCTCCCTCCCTCCCTCTCTCCCTTCCTCTTTCCCTCCCTCCCTCCCTCCTCCTCCCTCCTGCTTGTCTTCTGACTCACGTGTCGTATGTTATTGCAAGAGTGCATATTTATTTATCGCAAAGCAACCGGAGTCAGAGTCCTTACCAAATCTCTTTTGTGTATAATTCGTCAGTGCTGATCCCGCGACCACATGACGGGTACGAGTGGCTGATCCTGCCCAACCGTCTGGGGATTCCAGGGGTGACTCTTTAAGTTTATTTATTTATTTTTTATTTGTTGTTGCTTTGCTGTTTGTTTGGCTTGAACACGAACGCAAATGAAGGGACGGTCATGGCTTTCAGTTTTGTGTGGGCGTGCGTGGGTGGGTGGGGGGGGGGTGGAATAGCTTCTGTGGGGTGGTTGTGTTCCGGGCTGCCGGTGTTATTCAGGTGTTATGTGTATTGTCTGCCTGTCAATGATGTTATGGTATTGCTCGTCTTCTTGTTCGCGGATGGCCCTTTGTTTTTTCTTCTTCGTCCGTGTGTATGCGTGTGTTTAGTGGCTCAATGCTTTTATTCTGCTGTGGAGTGTGTGCGTGTGTTTAGTGGCTCAATGTCTTAAATTCTGCGTGGAGTGTGTGCGTGTGTTCAGTGGCTCAATTCTCTATATTCTGTATGAAGTCTCTGCGGAAATTCGAGTTTGTAAATATTGCGGCCTGTGTCCAATGTTTTTTTTGCTGTAGTGTTCGGATTTTCACTTTTCTCACGTGTCAGATGGTGCAATCAGTGGGGCAGGTGTGTGTGTGTTCGAGAATCGGTCTGCCGGTTTGTTTTGTTTTGTTTTTGCTGAGTTTTGAAGTTCGTGAGTGTGCAGAATGGCAAGCGTCTGAGGTTGGTGGTGAGTGTGGTGCGTGCATCTGTGGTTCTTTGTGCGGCGTGGAATGTGGAATCTCCGTTTGTGGAGTCCAAGAGTGTTCCCTCTGTTTGTGTATGGGGTGTTGGGAGTTGTTCATTGGTATGGGTTGTGCGGGCGTTGGGCGTGGGTTTTAATTTGTTTAAGGTAGTCTGTATTTTTTCCAGTGGTGTTCGGAAGGTGTTGGGTGTGGTGTTTTAGCTCCTGTTGTAAGTTTCATATGTTCTGATTTAGAAGGTTGTGAGATTATCTGAGATATCGTCAACCTAGGAGAAATAGTTGTAAGGTGCCGTAGGTTGCGGGACTCGTATCGACTTTATAGCGAGCGCCACGTGGCATAGCACGTTCCTTACGTTTACCCCTCACCTTTCCCCTCCCCCACCCCCCCAAAACATTGCCTTCCCCGAGTTGTGGACTGCAGAGCGGTGTCATTTCCCTCAGTTGGTGGTTCGCGTTACACCTGCAGTTCCCGACACTTGCGGAGGGCTAGGCGGGAACGAGCATTTTAGATAAGTGTTAGTTGGGCGCTGGGACTCATTGGAGAGGGAGCATGCGTGTAATGCTGGTCTTGAGTTTGAAGGTAAAACGATGGATATTTGTTTTGCTTTGTTTTTTCGTTATATGTATCTATTATCAGAGTTTTTTCTTTCTTTTCTTTTCTTCTCTTTTTGTTTTTGTTTTGTAGGGCTGGTTCCCGTGTGGTATTGTTATTTGGTGGGGGAGAGAGAGCGAAGGGAGAGGTGGTGGAAGGAGACAAGAGCGGATAGAAAGTTATATTCACTTCGTTTTTTGTGTGTTATGGGTGTTAGAGAGAGAGAGAGAGAAGAAATGATAGAGAGAGAGAAATGATAGAGAGAGGAGGGAGGGAGAAGAGAGAGAGAGAATGATGAGAAGAGAGAGAGAGAGAGAGGGAAGGATGGAGAGAGAGAGAGAGAGAGAAGGATGGAGAGAGAGGGAGAGAGAGAAGAAGGATGAGAGAAGAGGAGAGAGGAGAGAGGAGAGAGAATGGAGAGAGGGAGAGAGAGAGAATGATGGAGAGGAGAGAGAGAGAGAAGGAGATGGAGAGAGAAGAGAAAGAGAAAGAGAGAAACAAAGAGGAGAGAGAGAAAGGGAAGGATGGAGAAGAAAGAGAAAGAGAAGAACAAAGAGAGAGAGAGAAAAGAGAAGGAGAGAGAAAAAGGTGAGAGTGAGAGAAGAGAAGAGAGAGAAGAGAGGCACCCAGTTGTGAATATAGTAATGCGATCATTATAATCATATACCACAGGGAAGATATGTATGAGCACCTGGGGGGGTAGGCGGCGGCATACATTTCCAAATGATCGGTTTGTTAAAGACTTATGAATATGCACGGAAATAAAATGCATATATATCCGTCTATATATGCACATCTGTCACATATATATAGATAGATCAGTGCGTGTCTTCCGGAGAGATAGATAGATAGGCCTTCATTTCTGTGTATATGCTTGGTCCTTATAGGCCTATCTGACATTTTATCTATCATTTTTAACACACCTGATGTAGTGAATTTAGGATTGACTTCATTACCAAAAAAAGGAAGAAAGAAAGTTTGAAGGGATTGACTTCATTGATAAAAAAAATACAAGTCTTGGAATATTTAAAAGTGTTTTCTGTTGTTTTTTTATTATATATGTTCATAGTTTGAAGTTTTATTTTGTATGTCATTTCAAGGGGATGGCGTTAACAACTGTAGTGATATACGTGACACATCGTATGACACATGGCAGATCGATGTTCGTGACTGACGTGACGTATGAAAGTTTGTGTCGTTTTGCTGCGTTTGTCACCTGTTTGGAGGAGTCTGTGTGCCACGAAGACGTTTGTGTTTGTGTGTGTGTGTGTGTATATATATTTGTGTGTGTTGTGTATATATATTTGTGTGTTGTGTGTATATATATTTGTGTGGTGTGTGTGTGTGTGTGTGGTGTGTGTGTGTGTGTGTGTGTGTGTGTGTGTGTGTATATATATATTTGTGTGTGTGTGTGTGTGTGTGTGTGTGTGTGTGTGTGTGTGTGTATGTGTGTGGTGTGTGTGTATATATTTGTGTGTGTGTGTGTATATATATATATATATTGTGTTGTGTGTGTTGTGTGTATATTTTGTGTGTGTGTGGTATATATATGTGTGTGTGTGTGTGTGTGTATATATGTGTGTGTGTGTGTGTATATATATTTGTGTGTGTGTGTGTGTGTGTTAATATATTTGTGTGTGTGTTGTGTGTATATATATGTTGTGTGTGTGTGTGTGTGTGTATATATTGTGTGTGTGTGTGTGTTTGTATATATATTTGTGTGTGTTGTGTGTGTGTGTGTAAATGTGTGTGTGTGTGTGTGTGTAATATATTGTGTGTGTGTGTGTGTATATATGTGTGTGTGTGTGTGTGTGTGTGTGTTATATATTTGTGTGTGTGTGTGTGTATATATTGTGTGTGTGTGTAATATTTGTGTGTGTGTATATATTTTGTTTGTGTGTGTTTGTGTGTGTGCGCGCGCGCGCGCGTGAATGTATAGCTGTGTCTGTGTACGGACTGCAACCGCGCGCTCCAGTGGCGAGAGCAACCGCGCCGTGCGGACAGGTGTGGCGGCCCAAGCACCAATCGCAGCCACCACTTGACTCGACCCCATTCCCTCCCAGACCGATCGAGCGTCTTCGGAGGGTGTCGTCGAGTCGGAGGTGTTGATCACGGGGTTTTTAGTCGGACCGAGGGTGGGGGGCGGGGGAGGGGGGGAAGGGGGGAGGGGGGAGGGGGGAAAAGGGTCCGTGTGGGCAGGTAGATACGCCCCCCTCCTCCGCTCGGGTTGGTTTCTGGGTGGGGTGTGTGGGGTGGTGGTGCATAGCCGGGGCGTTGGTTTTGAGAATATTTGTTTATTTTATTTTATTTTGTTTATATGTTTATTTGTCTGGTTCTCTTGCTGTCTCCGTCAGTCTGTCTGTCTGTCACGCACAGGAACAAAACACACGCGCGCACACGCACACACACACACACACGCCCACACACACACAATACACCCACCCACCCCAGACGACCTAACCCTCCCCGTGCCGCAGATGTGAGGGGCCCGGCCTGGAGAGCAGCCCAGCGCACCAGCCCGTCCTGATCTTCACGCGCGACCCCTACCTCAACGCCCGCGCCAGCACCACGCCCACCATCGCCAACAGCGTGATCAAGGGCGTGCTCACCGCCCTCTACGACCAGAACTTCCACATGCCCGCGTAAGGGAGCCGACGGCCTTCAGGATGACTCGCCTGCAGCTGTGGCAGGGCGTGGTGTTCCTCCTGCTGTGGCTCGCCTACGGGGCCACCTACCTCCTGCGCAAGCCCCTGGGGATCATCAAGGGCGACCTCGAGGTGGGGTTCAAGGTGAAGCCCTCGAGCCTGGGCTGGGTGGACACGGCCCTGCTCCTGCCCTACGCCCTGGTGTCACTCGCCCTGGGCTCCCTCGGGGACTGGCTGGGGCCGCGCCTCACCCTGGCCGGCGGACTCGTCTCTCGGCGGCGGCCACCGTGCCCATGGCCTCGTGCCAGTCGCTGCCCCCCCTGCTGGTGCTGCTGACCGTCAGCGGGGCGGGGCAGGCGCTGTGCTGGCCCGCCGCCTGCGCCCTGCTCTCGCGCTGGTTCTCCGACGCCTCCAGGAACTCCGTGTTCGGCATGTTCGGCACGTGCTGCTTCCTGGGCGGCCTCGCGGGCACCGGCCTCGCCGTCTACATGCAGGCGGAGCACGGGTGGCGCTCGGTGTTCCTGCCGCCTGCTGTCATCGTGGCCTGCCTGGGCGTCCTGGTCAGCCTGCTGGGGAAGAGCCCTGCTGACCTGGGGCTCGTCGTGCCCAACCGGGCGGCCGACCAGCAGGCCAAGGACGGGAGGGAGAGCGGCACCTCCTTGTTCAGGGTGTTCCGGATGGCCATGGTGCCCGAGGTGTCCATGTCCATGTTCTGCATCAAGGCCGTGCGCTACGCCCTCATGTTCTGGCTGCCGCTCTACCTCACGCGGACGCTCGGCTACACCCAGACCGGCGCCGGCCTCGCCTCGACCTCCTTCGAGGTGGGCGGGGTGGTGGGCAGCGCCTGCGTGGGCATGGTGGTGGACCGGTGGATGGGCGGCCGCGCCCTGCTCGCCAGCACCATTGCCATTGCAGGCTCGGCCGTGTCGCTGCTGCTGTTCATGCTGACGGCGTCGTGGGGCTTCGTGTTCCACGCCGTGTTCCTGGCCGTCGCGGGCGCCCTCAACTGCGGCCCCGACGTGCTCCTGGCGGGCTCGGTGGCGGCGGACATCGGGGAGCGGGAGGGCGGCGCGCCGTCGGCCGTGACGAGCGTGGTCAACGGCATGGGGTCCCTGGGCACGGTGCTGGAGGGCCCCGTGGTGGCCTTCGCGGCGGCCTGGTTCGGCTTCTCGTCCATGGTCCCGCTCATGATCCTGCTGCTGTGCCTCGGCGCCGTGGCCACCTTCCGCGCCAACCAGATCCACAGACGCACGCTGGGCAGAGTCAAGCTGTCGAATGAGACTATAGCGTAACACACACACACAAAAAAAAAAAAAGTAAACAAAAAACTAACAAAAAAAATAATTTATTACTTGATCTTCGCAACTTCTTTCTCAAAAGCTGTCGTGAATAGCAAGGTAGTAGGAAGTGAGTTTATTCTACTACTAAAGGTGTATAACATTCGCATAAATTTCACTTTTTCAGTATTATCTGTACCATTTGTTTCTCTAGTTAGCTCTTTGTGTTGTTAATTTTAGTACAGAAGAATAGAAACATATTTTGATTCAATTATTTTTTAATTTGATTATATGTATATCCTAGTCTGATTTAGAAGCTATTAAATGTTGGGCTTTAGCACAATTATGATAATATCCTCATAAAATGAGCACTCTCAATCTTCTTTAAGAATTCAAAGTAGTTATTCTATTAATATTATTGATGGGTTAGAGACAACTAACCCTTTTGCCAAGCACATTTCAGATTATATTGTGATATATAATTGATTATGGCATTAAATGAAAAGTGTGAAAGTTTTGCCTCGTTTTATTGAGAAACCTTTGATAAACATTGGTTGGTTAGTGTCACCTACAATGAACCATTTACCAAACACTGACACGTTAATTAATTCTATTTCCAGTGCTTCACGAACAATTCACCATGGATCAACAAGTCAACAATTATTCTTATATAAAAATATATATATACTCTGATATATAAATTATTTTTTTTAGATTATGTGTTTTATAGATTTGTGAATATTAGATCCGTCTGAAAATGACTAGGACATATATTTTTTTTTTTCCTGATTACACAATCATCCGAAAAGTAATCATTGAAGATAAATTCAAGTTCCATTCGAGCGCTTTGTTTTTAATTCTGATAAATATCTTTATTAAATCTAAAAAGACAAATAATTTGTGACTTTCTTAGAACCTAAGAGACCCATGGCGATGTGAAGGCTTGTAAACAGGGGCGGGCTTGTAAGTCGGTCCATAAACAGGCTTGTAAGTAGGTTCATAAAGCGGCTTGTACGATGGTTCAGGCTTATAAACAACAGGCTTAGCTGTGTACGAAGGTTCAGGCTTATAAACAACAGGCTTAGCCGTGTACGAGGGTTCAGGCTTATACACAGCAGGCTTAGCCGTGTACAAGGGTTCAGGCTTATACACAGGCTTGGGCTCGGGGTAGGTCGGCTTGCCCTCGTAAGTGATGGTCGGGTGGTAGCCGGTCTCGTCGGAATAATAGTTGACGATCATCCTGCGTCCGTCGGGAAGATCCACGAAGTACTGGCCTTCGGTTCGGTAGCCGTCGCGCTTCTCGGAGTGGCCGAAGTGGGTGCCGTGGTAGTCGTCCGTCACCCCGTATCCGAAGTCGTACTCTGAGGGCTAAGGGGGGGGGGAGAGGGAGAGAGGGAGGTTGGGGGGGGGATTGTTTGGTGTTATTAGTAGTATCGTCATTATTATCATTTAGCATTTTATCATCGTTGTCATCGTCATTATCCTTTTTATCAATGGCCAATTGTTATCTTCATTATCATTTATCATCATTGTTATCATAAGCAATTATTATCTTCATCATAGTCATCGTATTATCATTATTATCATCATTATCATTATGAATCATTATCATCATCGTTTTTATCATTATCATTATGAATTATTATCATCATCGTTTTATCATTATTTATCATCATCTCACTATCATCATAATTTTTTTTTAAAGGTAAAAGGTAGTTGCATCCTAGGTGAGTTGAAGGGAAGAAGTGTAAAGAAGTAAAGAAAATTAAGAAGACATAGACGACGAAGGAGGAGGAGGAGGAGCGGAGGAAAAACCGAGAAAGAGAGGAAATTATAAAAAAAAGAAATTATCATTATTACTTTGCACTACATATCCTTACATTCTGAAGAAACGGAAAATACAAAATAATAAACCGAGAAGAGGGAAAATAGATAGAAAATATAGTTATCATTATTACTTTGCACTACATATCCTTACATTCTGAAGAAACGGAAAATACAAAATAATTATCAACCTGAAAAAGAAACTCAAGTGTATAAAGTAATAAAAAATGTTTAATTTGCTCCAAAATCCTCGCATAGAAAAAATAAGATCACTTGTATAATGTTTCAGATTAACTTAGATAACTTGTCAAAATTATAGGCCTACCAGATGCGGGTGTGTGGTAAGAAGAGGAAAAAATAAATGAAAGGAAAGAAAAAAAAAAAAATAAAAATAAAAAATAAATAACAATTTTATGAGGAAACCTAATCGATAATAATAATAAAAAAACAAATAGGATTTTCTCTGTACTGCAGTTAGATTTTTTTATATAGAAAATGGGAAAAAATCATCATAATCTCCAAAGAACAATGGAAAAAACAAAATTATCGAAAAAAAATAATACTCTGAGACAACTTTCCCTAAAAAAGCAGAGCATTCCCCCCCCCCCCCCGCCCGAATTCAGATTACACAAAACTATTAAAATGTTTCTCACATGAATTCAACAAAAAATCGGAATTTTTGCAAAAGGAAAAGACATAAAATTACCTTTTTTGTTGATGATCCTAACTTCAGTATGCTTTAACTTTCTGGCCTATATAAGAATATTTTTCTTACCTCTTGTCTGCTATTTTATACTCTTGAGCCCTTCTCCTCCCCTTCTCTCTTTCTTTCTTTCTTTCTCTTCTTTCCTCTCTCACGCTCTCTTCCTCTGTATCATCTCACAGTTCTTTTTCCTCTTCCTTCTCTCGCTCTTTTCGTCTCCTTCCTCTTTCACTCTTCATCCTCTCTCCGTCTGTTCCTCCTCTCACACACTCTTCTTGTCCTTCTCCTCTCCCTCTTCCTCTCTCCGTCTGCCGTCCTCTCTCCCTCTCCCTACTCACACACTCTTCCTCTCTCTCTCTCTCCCCTCTTCCTCCTCTCTCAATCTCCCTCCTACGCTCTTTCCTCTCCTTCCTCTCTCCGTCTCCCTCCTCTCTCCTCTCAGGAAAAGGAGGGAGAGGAAGCAATGGAAGATGAAAAGAAGAAGAGGGAGGAGAAAAAAGAGATGGAGGAAGAGGAAAGAATAAAACAAAGAGATAGAGAAGGAGGAAGACGAAGAGGAGGAGGAGGAGGAGGAGAAGGAGACTCGAAAGAAGAGAGAGAGAGAGAGTGGGAAAGAGAAAGGCGGAAAAGGAGAGAAAGAGAAAGAAAACAAAAAAAAAAATCAGAGACTCACGCCCATGAGAAATTGCTTTCACGGTGAGGTGTTGCAATAATGGTGTTTTAAGCTGGAATTAATTAGTCTTTTTCAATCTTTTAATTTTTTAATCAGTTTCACGCTCAATCCCTGATGAGTTTTTCCTAATGCGAGTGTGATCAGTTATGGAAATTAAAGATTAAGCAGAATGTCTTAAAAGTACGCAGCACTTGGAGGAGAGACACGCACACGCAACACGCAAACACGCACACACGCACACACGCACACACGCAAACACGCACACACGCACACCACACGCACACACGCACACACGCACACACACACACACACACACACACACACACACACACACACACACACACACACACACACACACACACACACACACACACACACACACACACACACACATTTACATATATGTATGTATGTATATATCTCCATACACATTATCACACACACATACACAACGTATATCAAAGCACAATGACAACAAATCATAACAAAAGATATCCTCTGCAAGCGTCTTCCCCCCCCCCCCCCCCCCGAAATGACTTGCTCCGTTTCAGCAGATTAGCGAAATTGTTGCAAATAATAAGACCGAAATACGACCGAAGAACCGGAAACGCGGTTGGCTTCGTAAATGGTGAGGTATTACCATAAAAAAAAACAAAAAAAACACACACACACTCGTAAATGATAAGGTATTACCATAAAAAAAAAAAAAAAAACACACACACGCACGTAATAGGAGGTGAAGGTTTATAAACATGCACAGATACACACGGATACACACAAGCGCACACATACACATACACAGACACACATGCACAAAGAATACACACACACACACACACACACAAAAGAAAAAAAGAGGTAAAGGCTATAAACACACACACACACACACACCACACACACACACACACACACACACACACACACACACACACACACACACACACACACACACACACACAACACACACACACACACACACACACACACACAAACACACACACACAAACACACACACACACACACACACACACACACACAACGACACCACACACACACACACACACACACACACACACACACACACACACACACACACACACACACACACACACACACACACACACACACACACACACACACACACACCAAAAGGCATTTAAAATCTTACTCCATCATGGTACTCAGGTTCATGCTTGTAGACCGGCTTGTGGAGGGTCTTGGGCTTGACACCCTTGTAGACTGGCTTGTAAAGGGGTTCCTCGGGCTTGTGGACCGGCTTGGCCTCGTAGAGTGGCTTGGGGTAAGTGTAGACCGGCTCTGGGGTGTAGACCGGCTTTGGGGTGTAGACCGGCTTTGGGGTGTAGACCGGCTCTGGGGTGTAGACCGGGTCGTGTTGGTAGCTTGGCTTGCGTGTCGGCTTTGGCTTGTAGGCGGGTGTGTAGCGGTAGAGGGGCTTATAGCGGGGTGTAGGGGTGTAAAGGGTTTGTATGTGGGTTGGGCGTGTAGCGGGGCTCGGGGGAGTAAGGGTGGGGTGGGGGTGTATGCGGGGGTGTAGTGGGGCTTGTAGGTGCTCGGGGTGGTAGGTGGGAGGGGGTGGGGTGGACGGCTACACCCGCGCCGCTCGCCAACACAAACGCCAGCAGGAGAGGGGGGATCTGGAAAGAGAAGGTAAGATGTTGGTGTTGGTGAAGATCTCGGGGTTTTGATAAGAAAAGAAAAAGAAAAAAAAAATGAAAAATAGGGAAAACAAAGAAAAAGGAAAATAAAAAGAAAGAAAAAATGAAAAATAGGGAAACAAAGAAAAGAAAAGAAAAAAAGAAAAGGAAAAAAGGAAAAGAGGAAAAAAAAAAAGAAAAATGAAAAAATGAAAAATTGGGAAAAAAGAAAAAAAAGAAAAAAAAGAAAAAAAAATGAAAAATAAGGAAAAGAAAAGAAAAAAAAGGAAAGATGCAGAAGATGATGATGAAATAGAAGAAATTGAAGACGACGAAAAAGACGACAAAGAAGAAGAGAAAAAAAGAAGAAGCAAAAGGCAGAAAGAAAAGGATTGGAAAGAAAATAAATAAATAAAGAAAATTAAACATATTCTTTTTCTGAACATCTACATTCAACTAATCCGATGTTATACTTCTAGAACTTTCTGAAACTGTAATAACATAAATATCAATTATAACACGTTTTTGCCCCTTATATATATATATCTAAGTGGCAGTATCTAGAGGAAATATTATTAATATTATTATTATTAAATATTATCATTAAATTATCTAAAGGAAATCCTGCTCTCAGAGAATATAAAATACAACAGTTGTATTTTACTAAAAGTCCTCAATCTTTCCTGTGATGTAGTTTAGATATGTATTGTGCAGAAAGAAAAAGATATATAAGTAAAAAAAGATAAATAAATAAATAAATAAATAAATAATAAACCGTGACCAGGTGTTACTACCATTTTCTGCAGGTGTGTGTGTGTGTGTGTGTGTGTGTGTGTGTGTGTGTGTGTGTGTGTGTATATAATATAATATATATATATATATATACATACACACACACACAACACACAGACACACAAACAAAACACACAGACACACACACAACACACACACACTCACACACACACACACACACACACACACACACACACACACACACATCCTCACACACATACACACATATATACATATTCTCCATGTATGTATATCCGTACATATGTATGTGTGCGGCCGCGCGAGCGAGTTTGCGTGTACGTACCTCGATAATGAGACAAATAAAGAGAGTAGATATTGACCTTCACTCCCCGTCACCCACAAGACCATTAAGAAAATCTCTGCTAATAAGGTCAGTCTGGCTTCCGACCCTCCCCCTCCCCCCCCCACCAACCAACCTCACCCCGCCCCCCCACCCACCAGCCTCCGGTCAACCTCCCCCACCCCCGCCCATCCCCTCCCCACCCCTTCCATCATAATATTACCTCCCCACCCCCTTCGACCCCCTCCCTCCCCCTCACCTCACCACCACCACCCGCCCAATCCCGCCCCCCTTCCATCATAATACAACCCCCCCCCTCACACCAACCTCCCCCCCCCCCCCCTTCCATCATAATACAACCTCCCCCCACCAACCCTCCCCCCCTCCCTCCTCAGCCCTCCACCCCCACCCCCTCCTGCGGTTACAACGAGCCTCCGATGCCATTACTCGCCATTACTCTTAATTACACGCTTCTTTATGTTTATCTCTCTCTCTGTTTACTTGACAAGGTTGTGTGTGGCGGTTCCGGGGGGGAGGGGGGGGGTTAGATCTGCGGGTGTCGGGGGGTCAGGAAGGTCAGGGGGAGGGGGGGGAGAGAGAGAGGGGGAGGGGGTGAGAGTGGGAGAGAGAGGGGGAGGGGTGAGTGGGAAGAGAGAGGGGGGAAGGGGGAGAGGGAGGGGAGTGGGAAAGAGAAGAGGGGAGAGGGAGAGGGTCAAATGGGGGCAGGGGGGAAGAGGGAGGGAGGGAGAGAGAGGGGGGGAGGGAGGGAGGGGAAGAGAGATGGTGGAGGAGGAGGGAGAGAGAGAGAGGGGAGTTAGGGGGTAGAGGAAGGGAGAAAGAGAGAAAGAAGAGAGAGAGGGAAGGGAGGCAAAGAAAAGGGAGAGGAGGGGGAGGGAGGTAGGAAAGATAGGTGAAAGATAGGTGGAAGGAGGGAAGGAAGGGTAGGAGGGAAATAGAGAGAAAGCTGAGAGAGGTGAGAAAGGAGAAGGAAAGAAGAGTGGGAAGAAGAGGAGAGAAGGAAATATAAAGAGAGCAGAGACGGAGGCAGGAATAGATAAGGGAAAAGAATATAAGAGAACAGGGAAAGGGTTGAATAAAAGGAGAAAGAATAGAAGAGATAAAGAGAGGATAGAGAAAGGGTAAAGAAGGAATGGAAAAGAAGCGTGATGGGGCGGGAAGAGGAATAAAGAGAACATAACATAAACGAAAGAAAGAAGGAAGGAAGGGAAGGAGAAAGGAGAGACAGAGGGAGTAGAATAGGGAGGAGGGAGGAGTGAGAAAGGATCTGATGAAGTTAAATCTGCGATATAGAAAGTTTTTTAAAATAATAATTCTATACTTTGAACTGTTTATGGAAGGAGATAAACAGGTACACCCCCCCTCCCCACACACACAACAGAGAGAGAGAGAGAGAGAGAGAGGAGAGAAGAGAAGAGAGAGAGAAGAGAGAGAGAGAGAGAGAGAGAGAGAGAGAGAGAGAGAGAGAGAGAGAGAGAGAGAGAGAGAGAGAGCGAGAGAGAGAGAGAGAGAGAGAGAGAGAGAGAGAGAGAGAGAGAGAGAGAGAGAGGAGAGAGAGAGAGAGAAGAGAGAAGAGAGGAGAGAGAGAGAGAAGACAGAGAGAGAGACAGAGAGAGAGAGAGAGAGAGAGAGAGAGAAGAGAGAGAGAGAGAGAGAGAGAGAGAGAGAGAGAGAAGAGAGAGAGAAGAGAGAACAGACAGACAGACAGAGAGAGACAGAGAGAGAGAAGACGACAGACAGAGAGAGACCAAGAAGGAAAAGAGATAGAGACAGAAAGAGACAGCTAGATAGATAGAGAGAGAGAGCAAAAGCCACTTATAGGTAACCCAAAACTGAATCAATCACAGAAAACAAACTATAACCACTTCCCTTTATCATATCCACTGCAATGTCAGAAAAAAAAAAAAATTTGAATCCTTCAGCCAGTGGTTCCAAACTTTTTTTTTTATTCTGTGACTTACGATCAATATATAATAACCTCTATGGCCATGTTCAGTAACTGTTAACTTTCAGATTCACACTGATTACTTGTCATGAATAGTGCAATGGTGTAATGAGGAGAAAAAAAATCCAGTTTGTTGATATGTGAGAGACAAGTATTAAATGTGAGATTATAATTTAGTTTATTTCGGATTCAGTTTTTTTTTTTATTTTTTTTATTTATTTTATTGCTTCATGGAACTCCCGCAGAAGTAACCCCCTTGCCCCCCCCCCCCTTTACACTTTTCTCTTCTACACACACACCACACGCATCTAGATATACTCACACGCCCACACGCACAAACACAAACACAAACACAAACACACGCACACACGCACACACACACACACACAACACAACACAAAACACAAACACTCACACGCAACACACGCACACACACACACAACACACACCATAGTCGCAACACACACAACACACACACACACAGTCCACGACAAGCTCCGTCTCGCAGGTGTGTAATCCAGTGAAACTTTTTCCTTGCACATCAGCGTTCGCAAATCTTGTTTATTCAAATGAGACGAGGCTACGGCATCAGTGTCATAACGTCAGCATTTCGCATATATTTTGAATTCGCCTCATCCGTTTTTTTTTTTCTTTTGATAATATACCATATATATATATATGCATACCATCTGCATACATGCATATATGTACGCCAGCACTCACGGACACACACACACACACACAGTTATATTTACATATTACATACATATAATCATTATATATAATATATATATTTAATATATTATATATATAATATATATATATACTATATATATATATTACAACATTTGCAAAGTGGTGTGTACGTGTATGTAAACGTTATAAACTCTTAACTGCTGCTGAAACAAAATTACCCAACACTTATAACTAAACACAAAACACACAAACCTCAAATGAAGCCAAATTGGAATTCGAAATTAAAGGAAAGAGAGAGAGAGAGAGAAAAAAAAACACTAAAAAACTAACGTAACTTTTATAACGGTTTCCCATTTGAAAACGAAATTGTGGAGTCGTCGCCACCGAGTGTTGACACGAACGAAAAAAAAAAGGGGAAAGTTTAATGTCGCTATTCAATTGCAGAGGAAAGGGGGATGATTTCCTTCTCCCTAATCTCCAAATTATTGTCTTATATCTACTTATTATCTTCGTCTGTCTCTTTGTTTACCTTGAAGAGTCGCGATGCTTTGATTTAATTACGAAGTTGAAGTCGCAGCCAAGCGATTCGGAGAAGGGCGAACGCGCGCTGATTTTAATGACATTTTTTTCTACTAATAATATCAATTAATCATACGATTAATTTCTCGATCGGCTTTTACTATTCCATGCTTCTAACAAATATAGGAAATGATCTTAGTAATAAATGCATAAAGTTAAAATATAATATAATATATATATATTTATTATTATTATATATATATATATATATATATATATATATATATATATATATAAATATATATTCTAAGATTATATCACTAATTATTAAAAAAAAGGATTATTATAGGAATAGATAAATAATAAACATTAATAAATCATCTTCGGATACCAGACATTTAATGAAAAAAAGATAATGAAGAAATTAATACCACAGCTGATAAGTAAACCCAAATGAACGCAAAAAAAGTAAAAAAAAAAACAAAAAAAAAATTTGAATACATAAAAAAAAATAATACTAACGACACCTTTTTCCCAACTTTTTTCTCCTTTTTTTTTTTTTTTAATGTTTCGTTAGTTAGATAAACAAAACGAAGAGACGTGACCCCGGAATGAAAAAATAAAAAAAAAAAAAAAAAAAAAAAAAAAAAAAAAAAAAAAACAAAAAAAAAAAAAAAAAATACTAGTGAGCATATATTAAGCCAGACACATTTGATTTTAAATGGCTTTTTACAAGTCCTGATGACTCTGTCTTTTTGTGATGTAAAAAAAACTAAAAAAAAAAAAAAAAAATAGAAAAAAAAAAAATAAAACAATCGGAAATAGGGCAACTGTAAAGAGAGCGAGAGAGAGCGAGAGAGGAGAAAGAAGAAAAAGGTAGAGAAAAAAAGAGTAAAAAAAGGAGTAAAAAATGTAAGAAAAAAAGAGAAAAAACTATAAAGAGAAAATCCAGAGAATATAAAAATAGATGAAAAGAGGAAAAAATAGAGAAAATAGAGAACTGAACAATAAAAATAAAAAGAGAAACGAGATAATAATAGAGAAAAGAGAGAAATAAAGAGAAAAAAAGAGGAAAAAAAAAAAAATGATGAAAAATAGAGAAGATGAAAAAAAGAGAAAGTAAAGAGGGAAAAAAAGAGTAAAAAAAGAGAAAATGAGAAAAATTAGAAGAGAAATGAGAGAATAAAGATGCATAGTAGAATATTACAGTTGAGTTGATATGAGGGGGTAAAAAGATGAAGAAAAGAGAGAGAAAGAGAGGAAGCAGAGAATGAGGACTAAAGAGTAAGGGATATAAAAAATAAGCAGAATAAATAAAAGAGGAAAAAAAAGAGAAGAAGTAGCAGAAAACTAGAGGAATATAGGGAGGTAGTAGTAATAGAAGAGAGAACAGAGAGTANATATATATATATATATATAAATATTAATCGTATATACATAATATATATATATATTTAAATATATAATTATACATACATATATATATATATATATAATATATAAAATATTATACATACATAATATAGTATATATATAGTATATATATATATATATATATATATATATATATATATATATATGTATATATATATATAATATATATGTGTGTGTGTGTGTGCATATATATTATATATATATATATAATATATATATATATATATATATATATATATATATTAATATATATATATATAACATATATATATATATATATATATATATATATATATATATATATATATATATATATATACATGGAAATGTTCGCATACATGTGTGTGTTATGAAGTCTATTCCTTATCAATAACGCAACGATTCTCTACCAAATAATTATTCCACTCCATGTGACTTTGCATTTTGCTAATTCCAATTCCGTTTTTATTGTTTTTCAATTCCTAGCCTGATAATTTCGATTTGAACCGAAGAATGACTAACAAAAAATAAATGAGTATAGATACATAATACAAACATACATATATATCCATAAAAAGAAAATATCCTTATATGTGTGTTTGTGTGTGTGTGTTTGTGTATATATATACATATACTTATACATATGAGAGAGAGAGAGAGAGAGAGAGAGAGAGAGAGAGACAGACAGACAGACAGATACTGAGACAGAGAGAGGCAAAGCGAGAGAGAGAAAGACAGACAGACAGAGAGAGAGAGAGACAGACAGACAGACAGAGAGAAATCCCCTCTCAACCCCCCCAGAAAATTCAATCAACAGCTGATAAAAACAACGATTACTATTTTTTTTTTTTTTTATCTCCGTG